ATACATCGTTTTGAGCCTTTTAACTTCTGTCTGAAACACTTTTCTGTAAAACTTATATCTTTCGAGATTTTTAAGGGTTTCCATCTTTTTTTCTCACCCTGTATGTACATAATTACATTCATTCACATCATATATATTTAAACATGCACGTGTATAAGATTCTATTTTTACATCATAATCGCATTCAATCTGTCATGAGTTTAACAGTTTCTTTATTTCTTAAGTGTTCTACAATTATGCCACCGCTCATAAGAAGCGTAGAACAGATTAAAGCGAACAAAAAAGTCTTATACTGTTTTACAATAATCGCAATAATTATTGAGTTATTAATTATAGAAATTAGATGAATAAGCGTGCACCGAGATGATAGTAGAGGAGCATTTGAGCCGCTCTCGGGCTGTAGTGCGGCCTAGTCGTTCTAGCAACTATTACTGGAGGTTAACTGGAGGAAGAGAAGAATAACGCATTGTTGCTTGTGCTCACATTGCCGCTTCTATATCTTGCCGCCTAAATTCACATGGATATATAGCCCCTAAATATTCACGATTACAATTATGAGATCATTTTATAATATAACAAAAATAGTTCATATTAAAACCATAAAAAGTTCTGTAATAAAGAAAAAGATCGAAAGAAAAAAAACGATAGAAATCGATGAGATCTACATTCATTAAACCGAACTTTTTTTTCGTATATCTTGAAGAAAAGAAAATTTTCCATAATCAGTGTGATGTTAACAATAAAAAAAACTTAAAGTTCTCTATATAACTACGAAATGTTATATAACTACGAAAAGAGGTGTAAAGAATCAATCGTTAATTTACGATAAACTCCCGTTAATTCACAGTTCATGAAAAAGGAAACGATGCGAAACGATAAAAGAATTCAAAATTAATATACTTACAAAAGATTGAGAATCTACGATCGAGATCAATTATGAATTTATAGTACTCTTATCAATGCAAGATTTGTAACAATGATGCAACATAATAAGAAACAAAATTAGAATAGTGGATACTATAAAAATAACAAATTTATGAAAAAAAACAAAAAATCTATCATATTTACAATAAGTTTTCGTCGATTTTTTATTCACAATAAGGATAGAAAATCGATATAATCATTTTTGGGTTTTTTCTTTCTTATCAAAGTTGCGACTAATGTCCTTGAAGAATATCCGAATATGTATGTCTCCGAAGTATAAAATCTCTGTTAATATTAAAATTTATAAACATTTCCTTTAGATATCTTTAATTACACGAGATAACGATTACAATTAAATTTTCTGTTTGAAATAGTCTATTCACGTTTCCGAATTAAGATTATTTCATGGCAAGAAAAATCATCATTTCTATCATTTCTAAATCACGGAAGCTTAGCTTAGCTTATAGGCTTCTACTTAACGGAAATTTATCATAAATTTATGATTGATTTTTTATGTTTTCCTTTCGTAAGTATCGTATTTGATTTTTTATGTTTTCCTTTCGTAAGTATCTTATTATGAATTAAAAAGATTCGCGAAATACTTACAAGCAAAAGTTCGAAACTGTCCTTCACCGATTTTTAATGGGCTTTGAATATGTTGTAGAGAAATAAAAACTATTAGACACGTATTTCTTCTTATCGGCGTATCTCAAGATTTAAAGGGTGAAAATAGCCCCTCAAAAAAACTAACATTTTCATTTTTTGCGAATATCTTCTAAAGTACAGGGTATATAAAAAATTGTTTCCTACAAAAGTTTTACAGTACTTTATATTGTTTGCAACGATATATTCAGATTTTTCAAGTGTCAAAATTTTCAACCTCCTCCTCCTATCTCTTTAATTTTGCAAAATTAAAAAATCTCATGAAGATAAAAATTGAAAAGCATTTGATGCCGAATCCATCCATATATAATAATCCAAGATGGTCATGATTAATTTTTAAAAAAACAAGATGATATCGTGTATAGGCGCCGCGATAGTAGATAGATATTGTGTTATTTCTTTTTAGTTGCACTATACTCAATAACTGTCTCTTATGCATATTTCCTCATATATACAATATGCAAAAGAATTAATTTTAAAGACATAATATGCAACTTATTACACGAAATAAAGATGTTAGATAAATGAACATGCATGTACAAGATGTACAGGATTTAAGTTGATAATGCGAAATATCTCAAAAACAAAGCGTTGAAGAAAGAAATGTTTTAAATAAAAATTATATGGTTTAAAGGGGTACATATAATGGTGTCCTTGGTTTGACCTTGAAACGTGTATTTAAGGTCAGCTGAAGGTCAACTTAATGTTTTCAAATAGAAATGTAATAGTGCCCTGACTTTTGTTAATTTGATTATTTTGAAATTTCTAAAGATCGATAAGTTAACAAAAGTAAAGGCGCTTTATAGCAATATATTCTTGAGAGTAAATAAAGTAAAAAAGTCTAGTACCTTTTTTTCTTTCGACAAATAATGAGCGAGATATCATAAGTTAACTGTTGAAAAAGTTATCAAGTTTTTTTTTAAATATCTCAAAAAATATTAGGTAAATAAAAAAATTCCAGACAAAAGTTATTAAAATTAATTAGTAGAAAAAGAAGATATAATAAAAAAATTGGGCTATTTTAAAAAATTAAGTTGACCTTCAACTGACCTTAAATACACGTTTCAAAATCAAACCAAGGACACCATTGTACATCCCCTTTTAAACCATACAATTTTTAAAACTTTTAAAACATTTATTTCTGCAACGCTTCGTTTTTTAGATATTTCGTATTATTAACTTGAATGGTTCACCCTGTATATGCACGTTCTATCTTTATCTCGTGTATCTATCTTTATTTCGTGTAATAAGTTGCATATTGTGTCACTAAAATTAATTCTTCTGCATATTGTATAAAGAAATATATATAAGAGACAATTATTGAGTACAGTGCAACTAAAAAGAAATAACACATCTATCTACAGCACAGCGCCTATAGCACAATATCATTTCGATTTTCTAAAAATTAATCATGACCATATTGTATTATTATATATTGATTCGGCATAAAATGCTCTTTAATTTTTGTCCTCATAAAATTTTTTAATTTTGCAAAATTAAAGAGATAAGTAAACGAAAATAATTGAAAATTTTGACACTTTTGAAAAATCGGAATATACCGTTGCAAACAGTACAAAGTATTGTAAAACTTTGTAGGAAACATTTTTTCATATACCTCGTACTTTAGAAGATATTCGCAAAAAATGAAAATGTTAGTTTTTTTTAAGGGTTGTTTCTCTAAACCTTGAGATAGGCCGATAAAAAAATACGTATATAATAATTTTTGTATCTAATAATTTTTGTTGCTTTACAACATATTCAAAGCCATCAAAATCAGTGAAGAACAGTTACGACCCTTTCCTTGTTAGCTAGAATGTGTTCTTCATAATTATGTGGTAGAAAAACATCCTCACACCTCTTTAATGACATTGTAAGAGATTTAGACACGCCTTATATCGTAATTATACCTAGATCAATTTTATATCAACTTCGTTGGTGCACGTTTGATAACGATGAGCTTCTTTGCGTAGTTATACAATAAAGAATTTTAAAGTTCTATCGTTAATATCAGACTAATCACAACAGATTTCCAATATCCTTTTCACGATACACAGAGCAAAATATTTGGTCCAAACAGTTTTTTTGTGAGATATGAATAGTACAGAAATTCTGGTTGAAATTATTAGAACTCAGTGTAAATTATCAATATTTCCAATTAACTTAAACAGAATTCTAGTATGTTTAGTCAAAATTTCTAAATCGCCCATATTTCGTCCAGAAAATTGATTCATACAACCAAGCATTTTCTTCCTATAGACTTGAATAAAATAATAAGATGATATAAGCCTATATGGGGATTCTTTCATACTTCAACAATTAAACATTCTTCTAACAGGTAACAATATAGTAAAAAGAAAAAAGGAACAATATTATTTATTTCGGATCCGATGCAGCGAAACAATGAATTACGATAGAAAACAATTATATTCTTTATAGATCCCATCGATTTCTATTGTTTTTTCTTTTCCAATCTTTTCCATTTCTCATAGAATTTTTTATGATTTCAATATGAGCTACTTTTGTTATATCACATAAAATAAACTCGTAATCATAATCGTAAATATTTAGCGATTATATCGAGGCGAACTTAGGCGAGATGCAGCAAGATGTAGAAGTGACGATATGAGCGCAAGCAGCGGCGTATTGTCCTTCCCTTTACCGCGCACCGGCAATAGTTGCCAGAATGACTGGACCACGTTACAACCTGAGAACGGTTCAAATGCTCCTCTTCTACTATCTTAGTGTGCACTCATTCATCCCATTTCTATAATTAATATTCGATAATTATTGAGAATATTACAAAACAATACAAGGCTTTTTTGTTCGTCTTAATCCATCCTACACTCCAGCAAACTGTGACACAATTGTCCTGGGACATCCAGTATATTTAGCATCGCTTAATCAACATATAACTAAGTACATTAAGTATATTTATAAGTAAATATATAATTTTGGAGGAACACGCCTCAGAATAATTCTGCCCTGGACTATATTATCAAAATAATTTTCCTAAGTGACCTTCACCTGTAACAAAGCTAGCGACAATTGCACAAAAAAAATAAACAAAAGAATTTTGATTGGATTATGATATATAAAAATAGATGTGTTGAATTATCAAATATAAGATTACAATATTTCAAAATCCTTTTGTTTATAACTTTTCTTCAAAAAATTCCGTCAATTCTTAATGACAAAGATTATTTACAAATATGACTTTAATCACCAAGATTAAAGCCGTTCCCTAACCTTATTAAAGAAGTATTCCTCTAAAAGGAAATATTTACTATACTATATCAAAGAACTTTTTGCAGAAAATATAAAAAAATACAATAACATATTTTAAATTGCACATGAAACATAATTAAAAAATTATCTTATTTTATATTAAATAATGCAAAATTATTTTTATTTACCTTAATTATTTTGTCACCCGCGTGAAGACCCGCTCTTGCTGCTGCTCCACCTACAAAGTTCATTATGCTTGTAAAAATATTTATATAAATGTACCCGACAATCTATTAACGCAAGTATGAAGCTTTCATACAGACCTTCTTTTACGGATTGGACATAAACTGGATTGTCACCAGAAACTTTCATTCCAAATCCAGCATCGTCTTTATATACGACAAGCGTGGCAATAGGTGCTGGCTCAGCAGCCCCACCACCAATAGCGCCTGCCCCAGCTCCAACGCTGCGTCGCAACGCTGCTGTTCCATTCATCCCTTCTTTGAGTTCCACCTCTCCTCACCTCTACTACTGCTACCGACCTATAAATATTTTCGTTATTATGATATGTAGGATGACTTATATAGAGTAATTAATAACTTATATAGAGTAAAGAATTTAGCATAAAAATAAGTATTATCTCCAAAGAAAAAAATGTCGCAAAAATTGTAAAATATCATTGCAAAAAATATTTTAAATATCGTTAGACATGAAAGAATCTAATAACCTTCATAAAATATTATTATTAATTTGATCTTAAATAAAACGATAAAAATCATATTGAAGTTACGTTAGATTTACTAACGCGTACTTTTATTTTTTATGTGTATTTTTATTCCCATTTAATTCTCTCCCTTTCTAATTCACTTTTATATGTGCTTGCAAGATAACTACAATATTTGCCTAAATTATTAATATGATATCCTGCATCATCTAACGAATAGTTTGAAATCTGGTATTTTTAGAACATTTTTTATATACAAATATTTGTAATAAAATTTTACGATTTTATTAAGTGACATGGTCACATCGCGATGTCAAGTACAGATAAATTTAATATACTAAATTTATTACAATATTAAAAGTTAAATATTCATTCGGATTTGATACTACCTAATACATAATTATTCGGTTAGCAAATAAATATGACACTTCGACTTCAAGTTATTCAAAGAACAGTTGAAATATCGGATCCGAATCCAAATTTACAGCAAAATCGATTAACGGAGGACCAGTCACGATTGGGTACAATTTTTGTTCTCCTCGAAATATGTTCTTAAACTAAAAAGTAAAATTAAGAGATATGTATTTTTGATACGTGTTCAAATTCACTTCTAAAAGGTAAAACACTGTCTGATAGATAATTCGACATGTTTAGTTTTGAAAGGATGACTTCGAAACCATGATATAAAAAAAGTATTTCAAATGAAAATTTAATTAATGCTCTTGAAAACGATAATTAAATTTTACAATAATTTAATATTTTGAAAATATCCCCACCACTATAAATTACTTTGTAAATATAAAAATTTTATATTGAATTCATTCATATATAACATAATTAATTTCATTTTTGTCAAAAATGTAATTTTTGGGAAATAAAACATAAAAACATATTCTGTTTGTCGTTATAAATATGTATACTGTCATTCTTCCGTTTATATACGGTATCCTATACTAGCTTATTCTATATCATATCTCTATTCAATTCTTTCATCTCTTAACTTTTATTACCTATTTTTGTCAAATAAAATTTAAAGAAGCGATAATTGTTGTAAGTTGAAAATTGTTAAAATTATAAGAACGCATGTAATAAATAAAATTTATGATTAAAGTAGCTATTTTTCTAATCACCTTGCGTATGATTTCGTATATTTTACGCGATAAGGCAATAACATATTTTTTATATTATATGCTTTTTTATATTATACGATTTTTTACATTATATTATACAAAAACGCTTTATCGCATAAAATATGTAAAACTAGATGCAAAGTGATTAGAAAAATAGTTACATTAATCATAAATCTTATTGTAAAATGAAATTATATGTAAAAATTAATTAAATTATTAATTTAATTAAATTATTATATGTAATTTATTATAAATTGTAAATGATTGTAAACATATAGAGTTGATAGATCCGAGCATGTTTATAATATGTACAAATTTTACATCAATTGTCTTTTCAAATATTAAAATATGTTAGAAACTAAAACTGTAATTAAAAATTTAATGACATTTCTGTCCTAAAGTTTAATAAAAATTAAAGTTTAATTTTGATTGCGACAGTCTGATAAAAACTGATACATTCAATCTTGAAATCTTGAACCTAACAACCCAAAAAGTTACATATTATCAACTGTGGTTTTTTAACCCATTAATTGTTCAAATCTCTTGTGCATTATGTCAAAATCTAATATTAAAGGATTTTATATATTACATATCACCAATTATTATTATTAACTCCTATACACATGTGCACATACATAATTGAATGTGTCCGAAGTATATAATGCAAAAAGTATGTGATATATAACGATTAAGTGTCAATAAATCATAATATTATAACTTATAATATTAACGCGGAATAGGAATTTAAATATTATATTTCATACAAATTTCATATTTTTTAAATATATCATATTTCATATATATTTTATTTTATTTTATAATACTTTTGATAATAAAATTTCAAGGTCTTAGGTTGACTCTATCAATCTTAAGCAGATTGATGGTAATCAAGAGTTTACATCAGTATTACATAAAAAATGTTACATTTCTATTAAAATTTTAATTGCCAAGATGTATACAATAAAATACATATCAAATTATTTAGAAATTAATCTAACAACGTTTGATTTAATACAAATCCAATTTTACTAAAAAAGATTATGCATATTAGTTGTATTTAATAGTTGGATGTTCCTATTTTTAAGATATTTTAGTTTCTCTTATTATGTAAAAAAAAAAAATAAAATCTTAACAGAGCATTCTAGAAAGATAAAAAATATAACTGAATATTATAAAACAAAAAGTTTAAAGACACAGGAAGATAAAGAATATAGAAAAAGCATAAAAAATGTTCAAGTAGTACTTGAATATTGAAGAAGGCAAATGAATGTTACCGTTAAGTTTCTTTTTGTTTTTTCAACTGTCCTAAATCAAGGAACAGATTTTCAAACCATTTAGTTTATGGAATATCCTTCATTATTCATAGCTGAAGAAAAACGAAGTTTAATTATTTGGCAGTTTTTAATTATTTCTCTTTATCTCTAATAAATATAGTATAAATATTTTGATACTTTCTCTTTAAATTCATTTCAGCAAAGTTAATTTCTTAAATGACACATATAATTTATTATATTTATACACATATATTTATATTTATACACATGTAGTTTATTATATTTTATAGTTTATATAATTATATTGTATATATTTTTTGTAGTTATTCTTTTATTTTTTTTTAATTTTTATGTCAAGAATGTTAATAAATTTATTAATTTTTATTAAACTTTTCTAATTAATTTTTAGATATATTCTCTTCTAATATTTTAGCACTCTGAAAAGAGAAAAAGTAAAATTTTAATTGCGACTGTTAAATTATAATGTTGAGATGCTAACAAACTCTTATATTTTGCTTTATAAACTCCTATATTTTTGCTAATTATATTAAAAACTGTGTGTGTGTGTAGTTTATTACATTTAATAACATTATATATAATAATAATAATACAATATTAATAATATTATTAAAAACGCAAATATGCAGTAATTAACAGATATTGCATTAATTCTTACCAAAGTATATGCAAAGATATACAATAATATTTATTTATAAGACATGTGTAACTAATGAACAAATAGCACTTTATTCATTATACTAGTATATTCTAAAAATAGATGGTCAAAGTTTTAGAACATTTATTATTCACTATAAGAATAAGAGAAGTCATATAAATATAAGTCCATAAATGCTTCCTTTCCAAATATATAAAATTTGTTTGTTTACAATAGATTTTAGTAGATGTCCAAAAATTTAGAAAATTTTAAGAATTTTAAAAATATTAATAATTTAGAATTCCAAATACTGCTATTTTTTTACTTTCTACTAAAAACATAAATAAATAAAGATAGTGCTGGTTATCGAATATATCTGTGTAGAAATGGAGTTAATATATATCTTAATAAGTATGAAAATTATTAACTTATATTAAGCTTTATTAAGCTTAAATTAAGATAATCTAAAGAAAGTTTTATATCATATAACTAAAGAGTAACTCTTTCTATAATTTCATATAATTCATTCATATAATTTCTTTAATCTTAACAATAATTATAATATGCTTTTAAACTTTTATCAATTTTTAAAACAGTTTAAATATATCTTTACCAAAACATCTAAAATTGTTACATATGATTATAATATACATATGATTGTTATATATGATTTTAAAAATTAAAGAGTGAAATTATACTGTCTTGTTCTTAATAGAACTTCTAATGCTTCTTATAATAATTAAAATATATATTTGAATAACTTATGTATACCAGTAAAATTATATGAAATAGTCCATTAATTTGTTTCAAAAAATATTGTATGATGTGAAGTATGTGTACATATATGATATTGATATATAATTATGATTAGCATGTTATAAATAAAAATATCAATATCAATATCAATATTCAGTATCAATATAATATATTAGTATAATTTAATATCAGCATTTATCAGCATATTTTTAATTTTGTTTATATACAGTATATATTATACATATATTCAGAAATTTACGTTTAAGTTCTTAAAATTAAATATTTTTTAAATGCGACAATTTGTATATAATAGCATAAAATTGTAAACTACAGGGATTAACTATTTATGTTTAAAAATATAGCAGTTTTAAATATTAAACAAATTTGAAAACTATTTAAAAAATTTAAGAAAAAATACAAAGAATATTAAAGATATTTAATAATCAAATATATAGATATATAAATTAATGACAATAATATAAATACAAATGATAGTTAAAAGATTAACAGTAAACTAGCAAAGTTAATAAAAAAACAAAACATAATCTACTACTAATGACAACTAAATAAAAAATAATCATATAAAATAAATATATTTATAAGTCAATTACCTTTCATTTAATCTACTTAATGATGGTAAGCAAATACTATTAAGATGCCCCTGTGGGATAAAAATAGATAAAGTAAAATGAAATGAAATAAAATAACACGAGGTAAGACAAGGTAACTCAAATAAAGGATGAGATAAAGTGAAACAAACCAAGGTAAGATAAATTAAAGTATAAAATGAGATGAAGTATGAAATGAGATAAAACAAGATAAAACAAGATAAAATGAAGCAAAGTGAACTGAGTGAATATACTAAAATATAGTGTGATGCAATATAATGTGGTATAGTAAAATAAGGTGAAATAAAGATGAAATTTAATAACGTACAGAAATAGATAAAGTAGGATGAGGTAAGGAAAGATGAAGTAAGGCTAAATAAAGTAAGATGAGGTAAGATGAGACAAGGTGAGGTAAAATGAAACAAGGTGAGATGAGGTAACGTGAAATAAAACAATGTAAGATGCGATGAAATAAAGTGAGATGAGATGAGTTAGGATGAGAGATGAAGTAAAGTGAGGTAAAGGTTAAGTAAGATGATGAGATATGATGAGGTGACTTTAGATGAGATAAGGTGAAGTGAGATGAAGTGAAGTAAGGTGAGATGAGATGAAGGTAAGATAAGATGAAATGAAGTAAAATAAGATCAGGCAAGGTAAAGTGAAGTTAGATGAGATGAAGTAAGATAAGATGAGGCAAGGTAAAGTGAGATTAGATGAGATTAAGTAAGATAAGATGAGATAAAGTAAGATAAGATGAAATAAGGTGAGATAAAGTAGTGAGGCAAAGTAAGATACGATAAAGTAAGATGAGGTAAGGTAAGATGAGATGAGATGAAGTGAAGTAAGGTGAGATGAAATGAGATGAGGTGAGGTGAGGTGAGGTGAGATGAGGTGAGGTGTGTATGTGGTTAGGTGTGTGTGTGTGATGAGGTGAGGTGAGATGAGGTGGGGTGAGGTGGGGTGGGGTGGGGTGGGGTGGGGTGGGGTGGGGTGAGGTGAGGTGAGGTGAGGTGAGGTGAGGTGAGGTGAGGTGAGGTGAGGTGAGGTGAGGTGAGGTGAGGTGAGGTGAGGTGAGGTGAGGTGAGGTGAGGTGAGGTGAGACGAAATGAAACAAGATGAAACGAGACGAAAGTTTACGAAAGAAATCAGGAAACGTTGATGCGTGCGCGAAGTTGCTTTGATGTGGCGTTGCGCTGCACGAAGAATATTATATCACGACTGTCACAACAAAAGAACACCCGTCGAACATGGCTGGTGACGGATGATTATTCCGCCTCTCGGCATCTCAGAGTCTCGGCATTCCGTCGAGGAACATTTGAAAACGAAACATTCCAAGATCGCAGAATACTGAATCGTTCAACACACGACACACGATTCGTGGAAATATGTAACACATACACACTATTGTATAAAGGCACTGCACTTAGCTTTTTTTACAAAATACACGTCGGATCGAAGAAAAATACGTTATTAACAAGTGGCGACCATCTTGGTACAAGCGATGCACAAATCCGCAGAACTTAACTAATGGAGGATTCACATTGCGTTGATGCTAGATACACATATGTACAGTCGGGTGCATCGAAATGTTTATTTTTAGGTGTAGAAAGATGTACCCAAGGTGTAGATAAACGCATTAAGCTTAAGCCAGCGGCACACGGTGCTTGTTTTCGTGCTGGATTGCTTGCTGGATGAAATTATTGCGTTGTGATTGGTACATTTCCGAAGATGGATGGAAATGAACCAATCAAAACGCAGTATTTTCATCTAGCAAGCAATCCAGCACGAAAACAAGCATCGTGTGCCGCTGGCTTTATCCTACATTAAGGCCTGGTCTACAATACCGTGTCGTAAGTTGTAAGCCGTAAGAATTAACGAATCACAGTCGATTATTACAAAAATAATCGGCTATAATTGGTCAGCTCTAAAGCTAAGACTCCATGCATGTGGTGAACTGCGGCAAATGCTGCGGTGACCAATCAGGAGGGAGGCGCAAGTCCGGTTGCGGCAAGCTCCGGCATGCGTCTGTCTCCTGATTGGTCACCGCAGCCGTTTGCCGGAGCTCACCGCATGCATGGAGTCTTAGCTTTACGGCGTACAGCTTACAACACCTATTGTAGGCCAGGCCTAAAGCGTGGTCTACAATGGCAGTAAAGCCAGCAGCACACAGTGCTTGTTTTCGTGCTGGATTGCTTGCTGGATGAAAATATTGCGTTATGATTGGTACATTTCCGAAGATGGATGAAAATGCACCAATCAGAACGCAGTATTTTCATCCAGTAAGCAAACCAGTGGTGCGATTTTTTAACTCGTTATTGGAGTTAACGACAGTTTCGTTATCGTTGCGCAGCTTTTCTACGGTATACAAAAGCTGCGCAACGATAACGAAAGTGTCGTTAACTCCAATAACGAGTTAAAGAATCGCGCCGCAGTGTTGCGATTCTGTAACTCGTTATTAGAGTTAACGACAGTTTCGTTATTGTTGCGCAGCTTTTCTACGGTATACAAAAGCTGCGCAACGATAACGAAACTGTCGTTAACTCCAATAACGAGTTACAGAATCGCAGCACAGTACCGTGATTCTGTAACTCGTTATTGGAGTTAACGACACTTTCGTTATCGTTGCGCAGTTTTTGTATACCGTAGAAAAGCTGCGCAACAATAACGAAACTGTCGTTAACTCCAATAACGAGTTACAAAATCGCAGCACTGTACCGCGATTCTGTAACTCGTTATTGGAGTTAACGACACTTTCGTTATCGTTGCGCAGCTTTTGTATACCGTAGAAAAGCTGCGCAACGATAACGAAACTGTCGTTAACTCCAATAACGAGTTACAGAATCGTAGCACTGTACCGCGATTCTGTAACTCGTTATTGGAGTTAACGACACTTTCGTTATCGTTGCGCAGCTTTTGTATACCGTAGAAAAGCTGCGCAACAATAACGAAATCGTCGTTAACTCCAATAACGAGTTACAGAATCGCAGCACTGGAGCGCTATTCTGTACACGTGTACCGACAATTGTCGGTGTCGTTAAAGCCCGTATCAGACTATGGATTGGGATTGAGATTAGATTGAAATTTGACCAATTGAAAAAGAGAAAATAATCTCAAGTATAGTAAACTTACTCCTGATTGGTTAAATTTAAATTTCAATCCAATACTCAATCCCAATCCGTAGTCTGATACGGGCTTAACGCTCCCTACCGACATTTATCGGTTAGAGCTATTCTGTACAGCTCCTCACCGACGCGCGTCGTTAAAAATGAACGACAAGTATCGGTCATAAACGATAATCCTACCGAGGGGTCCCTTGGCCATCGGTAGCGCTTGACCGACGCACACGGACGAGATTATCGTCGGTTTATGTGATTATGTTAGTGAATTCGCGATTTGAGGTAGTGATACTGCACATTGCGATTTCACATATTTATAAAATTTTTGTTTAGTTTATTACGTTTCTGTTGGTATAAAATATAATAGTGTGTGTGTGCTGTAAATTGTAACCCAAAAATGTGCAAGTAAGTAAATTTAATTAAATTCTCATAAAATTTAGTCAGTGGAGTTAACCTTCAATTCGTACTGCGGTCTTTACACGGCAGCAGGAAATAAAAAATAGTATTAGAATAGTATATAATATGTACAAAACCTTATCTTTTTACCCTAAGTAATGAATGTACAATCTATTATTGTTCATGACTTAAATTCATGAGGTTAAAAATATATCCTAAAATATATTAAGGATGAAAATAGCGCTACAAACTGAAGGTTAACAAGTGATATTAGAGTTTTTCTTTCGCATTTTTTGCGTAATTCTTTTAACTCATTTACATGTCGAAAAGAATAAATTTGTCTATACTTATAGGATAACGGTCAATTACTGCCAGTGTCCCAATTACTGCCATTTTCTTTAATTGTAGTATTACAATAAAAAATATGAGCATTATACCCAGTAAACACAATGTTACATGTAACATTGTAACTGGATAGTTACACTAATATATCCTAGTAGATTTAATGGGATATATTTAAAATATTTTAATATTAAACCAAGATTTTAAATATATAACGCTGTCATATTTTTTATTTTAATACTATAATTAAAGAAAATGGCAGTAATTAGGACCATTACTCTAGTGTATTTATATCGTCGGCAAAATTAGAAAACCTAACTCCAATTTTTTATGAAATTGAAATATTCCCAACAAACACAATGTTACATGTAAAGTACATATTAATTGTAATTTCCTACTCAATAATATAACTGTTATATAACACATGTGTTATAACAGTTATATTGTTGAGTAGGAAATTACAACTAATATGTACGTTACATGCAACATTGTATTTGCTGGGTTCATTTCATCCAACTTATCTTATTAAGTTGAATGAAATGAAAATCTCAAATTCGTTAAAAATTGGAATTAGGAGGTTTTCTAATTTTGCCGACGATATGTTATATCCAATAATATAATAATATAATTGTTAAATCCAATAATATTTAATATGAATTTAGTATGGCTGAATACCTCATGTGGGATCTTTTACACCTTGAAAATCGCGTGAGAATGCTACAACGTCGAATAGAAAGAAGAGTCTGGAGTGATACTAATGATCCATTCGAGTTACACGATAATGTTTTCATTAATTTATTTCGCTTGCCACTTGACACTGTGTTGGAATTAGCAGAGATCTTAAGACTAAGGTTACAACGTTACAGCCATATGGAATTTCAGTACAGCATCAAGTATATGCACATATATTTTATGTGTGTGATTTAATATGAAATTATTACTATTATTTCTATATGTTCAACAAATATTGTTTAATAGGTATTAATAGCTTTAAGATTTTGTGTTGTTGGCTGCTACCAAGGTGCCATTGGGGAACAATGGAATCTGGCTGTCAGTCAATCGACTGTAAGCCATTGTGTAGCAGCCGTGACAAATGGAATAAACGACCTATTACTATGACCATGGGTAAAATTTCCTATTACAGCGAAGGATCGACAAGCTGCAAGAGAAAAGTTCCGCACAGCACAACATCCGTTTATAGGTGCTATCGGTGCAATAGATTGCACTTATGTATCGATTCTGGCACCGCAACTTCACGAAGAAGCCTACATCAATCACTGGGGTGATCACTGTCTCAATGTTCAAGCGGTATATATAAATAAATAGTATAAATGTTAAAATTGGGATAACAATTTTAATTTTATGTATATATGACATTTTTTTGCAGATTTGTGACCCTGATTTAAAAATTCTAAACATTAATGCTCGATATCCTGGGACACGACATGATGCATATATTTGGGCAAATTGTGCTACTCGTCGTGTCATGGAACGATGGTATATGCAAGGAAAACGCAAGACTTGGCTTATCGGTAATACTATTATTTTTCTCTTATTAAATACTAGGTAAAATATTCAAAAACTTGTAAAATGTAAAATGGTTGTAAATAATTATTTAAAACAACTGCTTATTAAATATATTCATCATATTGAAAATGTAAAATAAGTAAACTGAATCTAAAGTAAAGTAAAATCGAAGTATTATTTTCACAGGTGATGATGGGTATGGACTGGAGCCGTGGTTAATGACTCCATTGAAACACGAGCAGCCAGGAACTCCACGTTTTAATTATAATGAAGAATTATGCAGTAACATTGTTACATTAAATATGTACAATGTACAATGTAAAGAGCGGGTCTGTGGGATTTGATAAAGGGGATCTTCGTCATCCATCTCAAGTCGTTCAATATTTTCCTACAACAAACAATTATTATAACGTAAATTGTTTCTTTATGTACGTATTATAATTATTTTAAATGGTTAAAGAGATACATTGAACATATATACGTACATCTTCCACGCAACTATCAGGACAATGTGCATTTCCCTCAAAATAATCTAAACCAATTGCAGACACTACGCATTCAATGTTCTGCAATGGGGCTTCTTCAGCTGGAAAATTGCCTGTGCATAAGCGCTCAGCTCTTAACTTGCTTGCTTTCCTCGAAGAAACGCTCTTCAGATCCCGCCATACCTAAATATATTAAATATAATGTAATATGCAAATCCCAATCAAATGTATCCTAGTAAACTAGTCATATAACAGAAAAGCAATTATATAACATTGATATTAGAATGTCAGCTGAATAAGGGAGAACATTACATAAAATTTATTTAACATGTATCAAGATACTGGGGTTTACTACGAAATGTATACATGTCCGGAAATCAAGGTGGGAAAGTAATTAAAAAAATCTCAATTATTTATATATAGCTTATCGCATTTGCATCATATCTGTTTGCTCTTGGTAAAAATGTCTGGAACATATATTGTGTAAATAACTTAAAATATATCTTACAGTTTGCCACAGCTTGACCGACTTCTTTGGCCCGGGTAGAGAATTTAGCCTTTTACACAGTTCATCCCACTGCATCTGCAGTTGCAGTTTCCCCTCATTTTCGTTAAACCGGCCGGCAGTGAAACGGCTATGCTTTTCCATATAGGATATCAAATCTTCAATTTGCAATGTTGATGCACGCGAAGAACGTTGCTTTTTAACAGTACTACAAAAAATATTACTGTTTATTGATAGTATAATTCTCTTATTAAGTTATCGAATAATATTTATTAGTATACCCACACAGCACAGATGTTTAGGGGACGTCGTAAGGAGATTCTAAGGATGTCCCTATGTCCTACGTACATCCTTTGGATATTTTGTGCTGTGTAGGTAAATATTACATTATTATATATATATATATATATATATATATATAATAATGTAATATTTACCCACACAGCATATATATATATGAATAGCATTAAAAATATATATACATACCTACTTCTACTCTCTGACATGATGCTTTCTCTTGTATCTTCTCTATTTTTCTACACAACTCTATGAATACGGTTATGTTTGTAAAACTTGAAAATCGCGGACTTTCTCATAGACTCGTTACGCGATTGGTCGAATTACGATGTATTCTCACTTTTGTCCGTGACTGTCTCTCGACCATTTGTGACGTCAACCGACGATTGAAATTCGTCGGTTGCACCGATGATTGTCGGTAGTGTCCATGTAGAGAATAGGTGTGCATCGTTCTTGTCGGTCACGCAACCGACGTTCGTCGATAATGACCGATACCGACAATTGTCGGTAGACATGTACAGAATAGCGCTCCAGCACGAAAACAAGCACCGTGTACCGCTGGCTTAATATAGCCTAAATATAGCCTTCCAATATTCACTGCCTGCACTGAAAAGCTATAATATACGTAACACAGGCAATGTATTTTCAATACTGACAATGAATATTGGAACATAGTCTATTAGTCTGTTCTTTTTAGCTGCACTACTGGGTACCTATTATGGAACTCGTCGGAATCGATTCCGATCACAGATGTCTATACTATACTAGATTGCTAACTTCTCAAAAGAGCTGTGTCCCGCCTATTTTCCGGTTCGGCCATGAAGACCGCCAAGCATGGCAGCGGTGTGTGTTTGTAGTGTGTATGTGAATACCCGATGTGTATGTAGTAGTGCGTATGTGACACCTGATGTGTCTACTACTATTTATGTTAGTAAAACTGCAAATCTACAAACGAGATAATGCCGAATAAGTATTGTAAATTTCAAAAATACGAACAAGAAAGAATATCATTTAAAGATGTGTGTATTAATAAGGTGTTGCTAATCTAAGTGTTTGATAAAGGTTAAAATTAAATTGAATATATACAGTTCAAAATATGTCAAAGTATTTGTATTAATATTTTTTACATACATATAAAGAATAAAATGCAACTTATGTGTTATTAAATAATATTAATTTTGTAAATTTGTGTCTGTTACTTGCAGGATTTCTAACTTTCGTTGTTTTTGTAAGTGAATATACTCTAATATTAATAATATTAATAATATTAACAATGTTTAATTGCAAGATAATCCTCACATATTATAAACCTCGAACATTTATTATATATAAATGTATTCTACTTACTTAAATAAGTGATATCCTTTTTTATTCGTATTATTGCAATTAACAATGCAACATGTACTTGGCATTATCTCGTTTATATATTTGCAGTTTTACTAATATAAATAGCAGTAGATACAACACATCAGTGTAGACACATCAGGTATCACATACTTACAGTACAGCACTACACACATGCATCGGATACTCACGTACGCACTACAAACACACACCGCCGCCATGTTTTGGCGGTCTTCATGGCCGAACCGGAAAATAGGCGGGACACAGCTCTTGTATAGGTCAAAGATCGAAGTTAGCAATCTAGTATAGTATAGACATCTGTGATTCCGATCGAATTTATTCCGTTATTTCCTAGATTTCTATTGGCTGCATTCAGCAGACTCAACAGTTGGACATTACTAGATTTTCCACTGAATCTCGCTCCTGATTGGTAAATACTTCTGGGTCTATGAAGAATCTAAAAGCAGAGAAAAGCCTGAGAGCGGGCATGGCTGCATTTACAGCGTTATGGAAAAGTTGGCTAATTCGAAGCGCCAACTCGGTCCATTTTTCATGGACATGAACTACTAAGCCAATGTCCACGATTTGTTGGTACTATTCCGTGCTATGTTCACGAGCGAGCTAGATTAGTTAGATAAAAACGAAGAATCGGTCTTTGTCTCATTACCAGCGAATAGACTATCGCGACGAAGTGAGCCAGCAGCGATGTTATCGTAAGACAGACGTCGCCGTCTCCCCTTTCATCCCCTTGTTTTCCTTTACACATTATTTTATATTCATAATTCTGGAAGAAAATAATTTCGAGAGTTCGGACGATTTCTAGCAATGACGCGACAGAGAAAACGCGCGGCCACATTAATTTGTCATGACTTTTATATTACTTATAATTACATAAACGCCCATATATGCAAATTATAGATAATTATTGCGCGTATGTTTTAATATTGTACAGTATGGTATATAATAACAACAACTTCATTTCTTGCAGTAATTTTTTTAAGATCTTCGTTGAGGTCGTGAATTAATTTTTTTCTTCATCAATCAGTTTTCTGCAAAAATTACGATTTTTTAAATAAAATATAAAATGTTTCTCTTCTCTTCTCTCCGAAGAGTTAATTAAAAAATATGTACTCCACAACATGTAGTCAACTAACAAATATGTAGTCAGAAGAGTCAATTTAAAAGTGTACTCCGAAAAGTCAATTTAATAGCGTATTCCGAAGAGTCAATTTGAAAGCGTACTCTGAAAAATCAAATGAATATTGTAATCCGAAAAGTCAATTTGTAATAAAATATTTACTTCGATGATTCAGCTAAAGAAAAAAACATTTATTTATTATTATATTCAGAGAATAATATTTAATTTATTATTTATACTTATCTTACTTATGCTTACCCTACATATGCTTCTTTGAATGAGAAATTTAATTTGTTGACTGATTCAGATTCAGATTTGTTAAAATATCTCTTATGCGCAACTCTTGAACAGGTAGGTAGTAAAATAATTTTCTTTCTTTACGAATTTTATAAACTTTTCACGAACGTAAAAATTGAAAGATTCTCAGAGAACAAATAACTTTTCTTGAACATTTAAACCAAAGGAAAATCTTTTCCCATTAATAAAGAATGAATAATTATTATCTCACACAAGAGGAATCTTCATCCTTGAAATCACCGCGCGATTTTGCTTTTAGAAAAGTATAATATTGATGTAATAGTAACAAATGCTATCCAAAAACGGTGCAAATCTTAAACGTTTTTGAGAAATGCAGTTTGAAGTTTAGTCTTTTCTGTTAATGTCGTTATAGCAGAAGAATTACTAATTTGTTTCAGTAGCGCAGTGGATCAGGCTTTGTGATATGAGCATAGAGGTTGTTCAAGTGTGTTATTTTTGCTATCACAGGGAAAACTATGTAGAATGTATAATAATACGCAGACAAATTCTTTACATAATCATACTTATTTCTTTTAGCATGAATAAAAATGATCAATGCTAACATGATAAGTGTATATCGTAATTGTACGTGTACGTGTACACATACACACACACACATACACACGTATACCAATGATGTCAAAACCGAACAATTCGTGAAAATTTTTTATTGATCGCAATTGTATGCAAAGACGAAAGAGAAGTACACGGGTCTCCGCGGGTATCTCGTCATATTAATTGTCTATGAGCTGATAAACAGTTGATCTCCGATATTTACAAGTTACGCTTGTCCGCAGTTTGTTCGGTTTTGATATCATTGGTATCAGTGATGCGAATTTGGTGACGAGCGAGCGAGCGAGAGAGAGAGAGAGAGAGAGAGAGAGAGAGAGAGAGAGAGAGAGAGAGAGAGAGAGAGAATATCATTCCCTCCTTGTCGCTCTCGTTCTCGCTCAGCGAGCGTGCCTGATTCTTTCTTGCCTATAATCTGAATCGCGGGCGCGACTGTCTCTCTCTCTCTCTCTCCTTTCCTCTCTGTGACAATACTGAAAGTTTTGTCTACTCGGCGCACCGAAATTATTACAAATAATATTTTATTATTAATAATATTATTTGTAATATATATTATTTGTAATATATATTATTTGTAATATTATTATTTGTAATTTTATTTGTAATTGTATAATAATGTTACAAATAATACAAATTTTTACAAATTTTATTATTTGTAAAAATTTATATCATTTGTAATATTATTTGTAATAGTATTAATAATATTCGGCGCCAAGAAAATGAAATATATTTTATTAATTATTTTGCGGAGTCGGGCAGGTTTATAGGTTTGATTATTGAATTGTTTAATAATATTTTAAGAATAATTTTAAGTTATACAAGGATGTAGTATGAAATATAAAAGAATATTGTAACAGAATCAAGAAGTACGAAATGAAACCTCTTTGCTTTTATTACCTATATCCTGTAAGTTAATAAATATTTTTCATACAGTATTAAATAATCTCCAAAAACAATTACATCCGTGAAATTTTCTATCTGCGCGAAAAAAATTCATAAAATATATTTGTTTCGTCGCTCTAAATGAGAAAACTCTCAGAACAATGTCATAGTTGTTCAGTGCACTACTCAATAAAAATATAATAATACTATGTTTGTATGTGTGAAGAATATTTGTTAACTTACAGGATACTGTAATAAAAGCAAGGTTTTATTTCGTACTTCTAAGGCCAAGACTTATTAACGGCTGAAGACATATTCGAATCGATCTTGCCTTAATTGGTCGGATCAGTGATCGGTCTTGCCTTAACTTCCAAGCCTCATAACTCGGAAAGTACTCAATGAAATGTAACTTTGTTAGAGTGTTTTGGAAAGTTCTCGAGATAAGCTACAAGAATATGTAATAAAAAGTTTTAGTTTCTATTTAAAAAAACATTAATGACCTTGGCCTGATTTTGACAAGGTCACTCAAGGTCAAGTCCACATTTCCGTCATGTGTCATCCTTCAAGCCATGCAACTTTCGTTCGAAAAATTTTTTAATAAAATAACAAATTTTTATAAATAAAATTTATCATTATTTATTAGAATACTGAGTTATATGGTTATTTTACTTGTTATTGTAACAAATTAATTATTATAACAATGCAATAAAAAAGATTTAATACAAAAAATCTTGGTGTGGCTGCACTAAAAACTATATCGAACTAAAACTTGATTAATACATACATGACAACATTTTTATTATAATAGAATGTTCTTGTAAATTCTCTTTATACATATACGGTATAATGTTTTATTTAAGTTTATATAGTATTATAATAAATAAATTATAAACCTTCACTATAGAATATAGTATAATAAAAATGCTGTCATATATGTATACAATAACAAGTAAAATAATCATATAACTCAGTGCTCTAATAAATAATGATAAATTTTATTTTAAAACATTTATGATATGGACATTTTTTGTAGCTAAGTTTTCTTGAATATTTTGAATAACATAACCTTTAAAAAGATATTTTTTTTTAAATATTGGACACTATTAACAAACGTGTTAAATTTTTATTACACGATATAATTTTCAATTTTAAAAGTTTATGTACATATATTATAATATATATCTTAAAAAAGAAGATAATTTGAGTTTGAGATTTCTAAAAATATTAAGTTAAGTATACAATAATCATACATATATATTAGTTTTCTCAGTTGGCGCTACTGTTCTAATATATCACTTCTTTTGTACAATAGAATAGTATTGCAGAGTTTTATTATAGTTATAAGTTTTACTTATAAAAACTTATGTACACATATATACATTAAAAAAAATAATTTGAGTTTGATACTTCTAAAAATAACACAATACGTGTTGCGCTTGTACTTGACGCTTTTTTTATCTTTCTGTTTAAAAAGATAAGTTTTATATAAGTTTTACTTGTAAAATCTTATGTATTATCTTTAAGTTTTACTTGTAAAAACCTGTTATGTACACATATATCCTTTAAAGAAAGAATTTGATTTGTAATTTCTATTATAATATATTTAATTAATATTTCTACTATAATATTGTAATTTCTAAATATAACACAATATATATTGCGCTTGTACTTGGCGCCTTTTTTTACCTTTTTATTTAAAAAGGTAAGTTTTATAATAAATTTTACATGTAAAAACTTATGTTACGTACATTTTTTGTCGTTAGGTTTTTCTTGAATAATAATAACTTTTAAAAAGATATTTTTTTTTAAATATTGGATACTATTAATTGACGTGTTAAATTTTTGCCATGAAAAGAATATCAACATTTGTAGCGCCTCTGGGCCAGTGTTTTTTACTTATTTGCCTATCATCAGCTTCAATCCAATCAGATTTACCTTCTGTATATATACTTGTGTAATGACCGCTTGCGATGCACGATCCATGATGAAATATGGCATTCATTACTTTATACAACTGTCCTGCTACTGATACTTTAGTTGTTGGGACAGCACGCAGAGTAAATTTGTTTATATATATACAGGGTGCACGATTTATCTGAAGACATTGAAATATCTCGAGAACTATGCATTGGATAAAAAAAAGTGGTTAATGAAAGTTGTTAGTCTCGAAGGGGGACATCCAATGATACCAAACTCGACCTCCCACCCCACCCCCTGGGGGTGGGGGTTGGGGGCAACTTTGAAATCTTAAATGGAAACCCCCATTTTTTATTGCAGATGCGGATCCTACGCCACAAAATACGTAAATTTTGTCCGAAACTTTTTTTTTTATTCGTGATAGATGGCGCTGTAATCGCAAAAAATTATATTTTCCGCAATTCTCCAGAAATGATCATTGGATTGAGAAATAAAAAATACCTGTTCAATATTTTTAAAGAACATAATAAAAGTTATTCCGCCCCCCCATCCTCTCGGGGTAGGGTGGGTGATAACGTTCAAATCTCAAATGGGGACCCACATTTTTTATTGCAGAATTAGATTGTACGTGAAATTTTTATTGAAACGATTTTTTCATTCGTGATAGATAGCATTGCACTGCCTTTTATAATAAGCCGTAGTTCGCTATATACCCACAGTGGCGCGTCGAGCAGTTCCCTCTTCGATTCGGGTTCCCATTTGAGATTTGAACGTTACCACCCACCCTACCCCGAGAGGATGGGGGGGGGATAACTTTTATTATGTTCTTTAAAAATATTGAACAGGTATTTTTTATTTCTCAATCCAATGATCATTTCTGGAGAATTGCGGAAAATATAATTTTTTGCGATTACAGCGCCATCTATCACGAATAAGAAAAAAAGTTCCGGACAAAATTTACGTATTTTGTGGCGTAGAATCCGTATCTGCAATAAAAAATGGGGGTTTCTATTTAAGATTTCAAAGTTGCCCCCAACCACCACCCCCAGGGGGTGGGGTGGGAGGTCGAGTTTGATATCATTGGATGTCCCCCTTCGAGACTAACAACTTTTATTAACCACTTTTTTTTATCCAATGCATAGTTCTCGAAATATTTCAATGTCTTCAGATAAATCGTACACCCTGTATACAGGGTATTAGAAAAGTCTGAAAACGGCCAAATATCTCGAAAATAGAACGTTTCTGAGAAAAATGTTTCCAACAAAAGTTGTAGGGTTTTAAAAGTTCTATTGAATGATGATATCCGTTTGACCTTGCGTAAAGGGATCAAGGCGAGGTCAAGACCAACATAATTTTTTTAAATAGAATATCCAATTTTTTATCACACAGTGTTAAAGATGACAGCAAAACGTTTTCAAAACATTACTTGATGACCTATTTTTGTTAAGAACTGCCTGAGTTATGAGCTTTAGAATTTACGATGCCGCCAATATTAGTATTATCCAGGATGTACCGTGTGGAGGTTGCATGGTCGAATTTTACACCCCGCCTCCCGTGTGTGTGTGTGTGTGTGTGTGTGTGCGTGTGTGTGCGTGTGTGTGTGTCAGCAATGTTGTGTATGTGTCATTAATGTTTTTTTAAATAGAAACTAAAACTTTTTATTACATATTCTTGTAGCTTATCTCGAGAGCTTTCCAAAACACTCTAACAAAGTTACATTTCATTGAGTACTTTCCGAGTTATGAGGCTTGGAAGTTAAGGCAAGACCGATCACTGATCCGACCAATTAAGGCAAGATCGATTCGAATATGTCTTTAGCCGTTAATAAGTCTTAGCCTTAGAAGTACGAAATAAAACCTTGCTTTTATTACAGTATCCTGTAAGTTAACAAATATTCTTCACACATACAAACATAGTATTATTATATTTTTATTGAGTAGTGCACTGAACAACTATGACATTGTTCTGAGAGTTTTCTCATTTAGAGCGACGAAACAAATATATTTTATGAATTTTTTTCGCGCAGATAGAAAATTTCACGGATGTAATTGTTTTTGGAGATTATTTAATACTGTATGAAAAATATTTATTAACTTACAGGATATAGGTAATAAAAGCAAAGAGGTTTCATTTCGTACTTCTTGATTCTGTTACAATATTCTTTTATATTTCATACTACATCCTTGTATAACTTAAAATTATTCTTAAAATATTATTAAACAATTCAATAATCAAACCTATAAACCTGCCCGACTCCGCAAAATAATTAATAAAATATATTTCATTTTCTTGGCGCCGAATATTATTAATACTATTACAAATAATATTACAAATGATATAAATTTTTACAAATAATAAAATTTGTAAAAATTTGTATTATTTGTAACATTATTATACAATTACAAATAAAATTACAAATAATAATATTACAAATAATATATATTACAAATAATATATATTACAAATAATATTATTAATAATAAAATATTATTTGTAATAATTTCGGTGCGCCGAGTAGACAAAACTTTCAGTATTGTCATAGAGAGGAAAGGAGAGAGAGAGAGAGAGACAGTCGCGCCCGCGATTCAGATTATAGGCAAGAAAGAATCAGGCACGCTCGCTGAGCGAGAACGAGAGCGACAAGGAGGGAATGATATTCTCTCTCTCTCTCTCTCTCTCTCTCTCTCTCTCTCTCTCTCTCTCTCTCTCTCTCTCTCGCTCGCTCGCTCGTCACCAAATTCGCATCACTGATACCAATGATATCAAAACCGAACAAACTGCGGACAAGCGTAACTTGTAAATATCGGAGATCAACTGTTTATCAGCTCATAGACAATTAATATGACGAGATACCCGCGGAGACCCGTGTACTTCTCTTTCGTCTTTGCATACAATTGCGATCAATAAAAAATTTTCACGAATTGTTCGGTTTTGACATCATTGGTATACGTGTGTATGTGTGTGTGTGTATGTGTACACGTACACGTACAATTACGATATACACTTATCATGTTAGCATTGATCATTTTTATTCATGCTAAAAGAAATAAGTATGATTATGTAAAGAATTTGTCTGCGTATTATTATACATTCTACATAGTTTTCCCTGTGATAGCAAAAATAACACACTTGAACAACCTCTATGCTCATATCACAAAGCCTGATCCACTGCGCTACTGAAACAAATTAGTAATTCTTCTGCTATAACGACATTAACAGAAAAGACTAAACTTCAAACTGCATTTCTCAAAAACGTTTAAGATTTGCACCGTTTTTGGATAGCATTTGTTACTATTACATCAATATTATACTTTTCTAAAAGCAAAATCGCGCGGTGATTTCAAGGATGAAGATTCCTCTTGTGTGAGATAATAATTATTCATTCTTTATTAATGGGAAAAGATTTTCCTTTGGTTTAAATGTTCAAGAAAAGTTATTTGTTCTCTGAGAATCTTTCAATTTTTACGTTCGTGAAAAGTTTATAAAATTCGTAAAGAAAGAAAATTATTTTACTACCTACCTGTTCAAGAGTTGCGCATAAGAGATATTTTAACAAATCTGAATCTGAATCAGTCAACAAATTAAATTTCTCATTCAAAGAAGCATATGTAGGGTAAGCATAAGTAAGATAAGTATAAATAATAAATTAAATATTATTCTCTGAATATAATAATAAATAAATGTTTTTTTCTTTAGCTGAATCATCGAAGTAAATATTTTATTACAAATTGACTTTTCGGATTACAATATTCATTTGATTTTTCAGAGTACGCTTTCAAATTGACTCTTCGGAATACGCTATTAAATTGACTTTTCGGAGTACACTTTTAAATTGACTCTTCTGACTACATATTTGTTAGTTGACTACATGTTGTGGAGTACATATTTTTTAATTAACTCTTCGGAGAGAAGAGAAGAGAAACATTTTATATTTTATTTAAAAAATCGTAATTTTTGCAGAAAACTGATTGATGAAGAAAAAAATTAATTCACGACCTCAACGAAGATCTTAAAAAAATTACTGCAAGAAATGAAGTTGTTGTTATTATATACCATACTGTACAATATTAAAACATACGCGCAATAATTATCTATAATTTGCATATATGGGCGTTTATGTAATTATAAGTAATATAAAAGTCATGACAAATTAATGTGGCCGCGCGTTTTCTCTGTCGCGTCATTGCTAGAAATCGTCCGAACTCTCGAAATTATTTTCTTCCAGAATTATGAATATAAAATAATGTGTAAAGGAAAACAAGGGGATGAAAGGGGAGACGGCGACGTCTGTCTTACGATAACATCGCTGCTGGCTCACTTCGTCGCGATAGTCTATTCGCTGGTGATGAGACAAAGACCGATTCTTCGTTTTTATCTAACTAATCTAGCTCGCTTGTGAACATAGCACAGAACAGAACCAAATAATTATGGACATAGCACGGAATAGTACCAACAAATCGTGGACATTGGCTTAGTAGTTCATGTCCATGAAAAATGGACCCAGTTGGCGCTTCGAATTAGCCAACTTTTCCATAACGCTGTAAATGCAGCCATGCCCGCTCTCAGACTTCTCTCTGGTCGTACCGTCTCGCAATGGTTATCCCCCCGAAACTCTACGCTCTGTCTCTATATTCTTATGTCTATGATTTAATTCCTTTGGTCGTCATGGCAACGCGTCTGTCAACATTAAGATTAATATCAATTAATATCAACTGCAGTTAGTATTGGATAACTAGTATGTGTTGTTATATATATAGTTTATATAATTTACTAGATTTAGTAGATCAATGTTTGTGACGGATAAACATGTTTTCATTATGATTCTTATAAATTTCCAAGGAAATTTGTGAATTACCGAGGATTGAATTTTGGTGTATTGATAATCATTGACTGATTGAATGATAATCATTGAGTAAAAACTACATATAATATAACGATAATAACAAAAGTTAGACGAGTGTCATATGGATGGAACCTCGAATTTTCCAGTAACCAGTTATGATAACAAGAAAATTTAAAGTATCTTGAGTTCTTTTTATAGTCCTATTCTGTCTTATTTATAATTATTATTAAAAGTTTAATACAATTACATTTACAAATGTTATAAAAAATATATAGTTTTTTTATTACATTCAGTATTTCTCACAAAATATGTTGTAACTATATTTTTATATATTAATGTTTACAAAAGTAAAATAAGTAATTGGATTTATATTTCAAGACATAGTTACTTTTCTTTTATTATATTTACATTGAATTGTAATTTACGTAACTAAATTTGTATGTAATTACTATAAACTGATTTGTAGTAAAAGGTATCAATATCATATAGAATAATGCAATAATATTATATAGTATTAAATTATTGATATATAATATAGAATTATATATAATATAGAAAGCAATTTTTAATGAATAGATAATATTAAATTGAACAATAAAAATAGAAATTTGTGTATTTTTCATCAATAGTTACTATAAAGAATATTAAAACTTTTTTACTGGAAAAAAACTAACAAGTAAGTATTTTATCATCCAAGTATGAATAGATATATAAATTTTATTTATTTTTTTATTTCTTTCAAATAGCAATATGATATTAGAATATGGCCGAATTGCATATAATTGGAAAAGTTTCATCTGCAAGAAATTTTAAACAGATACGTTTATTCTGTAAATGGAGTTTTTATGTAGGTAAGTTAAGTAATTATATTTTCTATCTATTTATTTATGAGCAAAATATATTTATGTGATATTAATAAACTTTTGTTAACTATATTACAGGCAATGGATGGAAAATAATATCAGGACATAAAGAAGGACAAACACAGGAGAGCTGTGATTTTTATATTAATAACCCAATTTGGGATCACCCTATAGACTTGCATTATACAACTAAGACATTACAAAATTCTCCAAAACTATTGTTACAAGTGTTTTGCAGAGATAATTATGAAAGAATACTTTTTCTTTCATATGGAACGTGTAATATTCCGTTGTCACCTGGTTCACACATATTAGATTGTCATACATGGAAACCTGTTGGTATATATGGTTCAAGTATATGAAGTTTTACAACTTTATAATAAACTTTACATCAATATTTTTTAATATTTTAGTAATACAAATTCATATAATGCAGGTAATTGGAAGGACAGACTACAAGATAAATTCTTAGGAAAAGGTTTACAATTAAAATCTCCAAGTGTTTTAATCAATACAGTGGATAGGTTTGAATTACTTACACAAAGTATGGGAACAGTGATTGTTCACTTACATATACTGACAAGAAATTTTGATAAATTTGGATGTCAGTTGTGACTTAACTTAATCGAATATAAATTTTATGAATTATTTCCAGCAATAAAAAGTAAAGTTATGTGAATAATTACAAAATACTTACTAAAAATATTACCTATTACTATTTATCTAATAAAAACTTACAATTTATGATTATATTTATAAAATAAAAATATTTTGCAGCAATGTATTTCTTGCTACTGCTATTCTTAACATATACCAATGTAGCACATGTAGCAAAACTTGAGGATATATCACCCTGTATCAGTGATACAAGTTGTAATGAATCAATAGACTCATCTGTATATACACAAAGTTCTGAAGTTAATGATGCAGTATCGGATAATGCATCAAATGATACAGAAGTGAATAATACATATATTACGACTATTTTTACAGAAATCATTACAACTGTTGGAAATTTAGATATTACAGAACAACCTGAAATACAGTCAACAACAAATTCTTCTCTAGCTCTTAATATTTATTTAAATGATGATAAAATTATCAAATTTGAGAAGAAGGAAATATGCGAGTGCAATTTGATTGTACGTATTAATATTCAACTCGATTATTAAACAAATAATAACATTAACAAATTATTACACATGTATATATTCATTTTGTTTAAATATGTTTTAAATGCTTTTTTTATGCAGTTAGGAACACAGCTGATATTTATTAATCTAATTTAACTTGTAGGAATTATTCAAAAATAAATTCTTCTATTTAATATTGGCTATGTTTCAAATTACATAGAGAATGTTTCTCAATTTTATTGAAACTAAATATATACATATGCAATCATAGACAAAAATATTCTCTATAGTTTCTTATATAAGCGCTAAGATATAGTCAGTTTTCACAATGGGAGAATTTTCCCATTGAAATACCCATTAAAATTCCCACTGAAATTTTCACAATGGGAGAATTTTCCTGTTGAAATACAGATTCTTTCACTTTCATGGATACATTCCAAAATTCATACAAAAAATTATTTCACTAATTACCTCTCTGTTTATAAGTATAAAATGCTTGTGGTATGCATATGCGTAATGTACGTATTAAAATTTAATATTCAATACATGTAAAAAGATTAAAATTAGAAGTGTTTTTATAGTTTTTTCAAAGATTATTAAAGAATATATACTTGTGTATTTATATATACACAGTAAAATCATTTTATTTCATATATAAAATGTTTCACAATAGTTGCTTCAGAAATATACTACAGTACCCTTGGACTGAAAAAATAATTCCCTCTTTAAAATATTTAAATAATACATAATTTGTAATCCAATATTTTTAATAAACAAAATTCGACCAATAAAGAATTGTAGTATATATTTTTTATTGATTGAATTATATTTATTAAAGTTATGTGAATTGAGAAAAATGTTACATTATCTAATTTTTTGCAAAAGAAAAAGGTTGCTTTATTTTGGTTTAATAATATTATATATTTTATTATTAAACATCATATATACGCAGGATGTTCATTATAAAATTTTATACAAAAAAATGACATTTATGATAATTTATCAAATAGATTTCAAGTAAAATTATGTTTCATACAAATTTCAATGAATCGCAAAAAAATAAAATTTTCTGCTTCACACATATAATAAATTAATGTCTCATTTTATATTTTCTTAATAGGATATGTTTTTGTCATAATATAGTGGATTTTCAGATAACTAGAGTGGACATTTAGATGATTTCAACTATTTATGATATTATGATTATGAATTCATGATGATGAATTACACATATTTTAATAAAAAACAAAACAATTTATATTGTATATAGGATAAATTCGCAAATATCTAAAATTTAAAGGCATATTCTACGTTTAAAAATTAACAAAATTTTATTTCTTTTATTAAGGCTCCCAGTTTTTTATTGTGGAATTATAAATTAATGATGTTAGGAACGAAAATATATATTTATGTAAAAAATTACGTCGAAATGAATAAATAAAGACACACGCGCATATAACACATATATACATGCACAGGCGCACACGCGCTCACACATATACACACACAAAATGAGCCACATAAAGTGTGACAACTCAAAAACTCAAAATTTGAAAACTTAAAAAAATAAAATTTAAAACTCAAAAAGTCTAAAAATATTTGTCGTATTAAAAAATTGTAATTTTGTAATTTCAAAAGGAACTTTCTATAAAATGTTATATATTTGGATTTTACGAGAAAAGCAAGTAAACTTCATTTGGAATATTTTTTTGAAAAATGCTTCTATCAAAAGTTATAAACATTTAAACTTTGAAATAGAATGCATTCAAACTAATGTGATAAAACCATAAATTCAATAAAAAACTTCATATTTTTTTGTTTTTTTCTCTTTATTGAATGTACGAACTGTTGACTATTCACATTTTTCTTCTTCATCACATTTTCATGTCTGGAGAATTGTAACATGGTTATGTACAATGATGATTTATAGTTTTCCATTATTGGCAATCTTTTGCTTCACGGAGATTCGTTTGTAATGTTTGACTTGTGATATATTTTATTTGATATAATCAGCGTGATGGAAATCAATCCTTTGATGCCTTGCCTTCGACTTTGTCTTGCATTATTAGTTTTTCAAAATTATCTTACAAGAAGATGACAAGACATGTAAAATCGATAATTGAATGAGTCATATTTCATTCAAATTGGGAGGTTGAGTACATAAAAACCCTAAAAGGGGTGCATGGGCCTTCGTTTGCGAGAAATTTGCAATTAAAAAACAGCTATATTTAAGTTTTGTCTTATTAAGTGTTTTTGTCCTATACAAAAAAGAATTTTTAGGATTTTTATGTACTCAATCCCCCCCCCCATTCGAATGAAATATGACTCATTCAATTATCGATTTTACATGTTTTGCCATCTCCTTGTTAGGCCCAGTTCCACAAAATCAAGTTTAAACCGTGATTATCTGAACTGACGTTACATTTAACGGCATGGTTAAACTTGTATCGCGTTCCACATCATGTTTTTAACTGTAGTTTACTTAAACCTATAGTCTGTATGAAGAAACTGTCAAAGACTTCTCTTTCTTTTCAAACGTAGAGTATGATTGGTTGTTGCTAATTGTGAAAAGAGGGAAAATTGAAATAAGTTGGATGCTATGACATCTAGTAGAGAACAATATATCTGTTTCGTATGAAGTAAACACTAACCAACATTAACATTTGCTGTATTTGTATATAAGTATTAATTTATTAAAAGGTGGAAGTCCAGTGTTAATAATAATCAATTAGTTTATATTATTGATTTGATTGCATTTATCATATAATAATTGATTTTTATATATAGTTTTATACTCTGTTTTAGAATATAATCTATCGAAGCAAAAAACCCAATATTTTAAATTAAATTTATATACTTACTGTTCTGTTTTATGAGAAATTTCATGCTCGATTTCTGCTAGAACTGCAATAACAGATTCTTTTGATAATCTAAATCGTGCATGAAAATCGACATTATCAAATTCTTCCAGATATGATGGTTGTCTTATTCTTATATTTCTTGTCCGTCGATAAATTAGGTTTTCAAAATCTTCATCTTTAGATGAAGATAATATGTATTCTAAAGCCATATCTCTTTGGTGTTCAAACGTTCAAAATATTTGTCAACTGAACTCCAAAACCGGGATAATCATAAATTTTTTTCTCAAATTGATGATACTGCAGTGTTAAACTTCGTTTAAATTCATTAAACGCCCAAAGTTTTGGGTTTAACTTTAACTGTGAGAAATCAACGTTAACCATGGTTTAAGGCAGCTGTGGAACGCAATTTTTCGTCTAAACTAGGGTTAACGAGTTAAACTTCGTTTACAGTAAGTTGTGGAACCGGGCCTTAGTCTTTTCATATGATGTGAACGAAGAATACTAGAGAATACGGCAGATCGTGAACTGTCGATCGGTGATATTGAGTTCATTAAAAAATTGATAGGTTCTGTTGTCCATAGAATGCACAATATCCTTCTTTAACTCCATATTTCAAACGCGTTTATGCGATATCGATCGGCAATCTGGATGATCCATGACTCAGTTCCGTATAAGAACATGGAGAATATTAGAAATCGAACCAGAGCTATTTTTGTGTTTCTTGTTATTTGTTTGCTTACCTATATTTTTCTCAGGCTCATAATAGTTGTTCGTGATATTGTTACACGTCTTCTTATCTCAATTTCGCATTCTCCCTTGTTGGTTATTAAAGACTCCAAATAGATAAACTCACTAACTAATTCAATATCTGGAAGTAAATTTTTTAGTTGTACTATATTGCCGCTGTCTATCACCAGGAGTTTGGTTTTGTCCATGAGGTTGATTTCTAAACCTTTCGCTTATACTTTGTTTTCGCTAGTAATCAATTCAACCATTCTAGCCATTTTCTATTTGTTCTTCGTTATTAAAGTGGTGTCGTCAGCATGTTGAAAATTAATTAAAATTTCACCGTTGACTGTTATTCCTTTATTGTGACTCTCTAAGGCACACCTCATTATGTATTCGCCGCAGGCGTTGAATAATCTAGGTGATAATATATAACTTTGATGCACTCTTCTATGTGTTTTAAAAAGGTCTTTTATGAATGGGGATAAAGGCTGACCTTTAGATCCTTAGTCCCATCTTTAGACCATTGGCCATTTGCCAGACTTGACTATAGTTGTTATGAATTATCTTAGTGTCCTCGTCTCCCAGTAATTTTCATCTCACAAGTAACACTACCCAACTGATACTCACCGATTTAAATGAAACTTAACATACTTGTTAAACACCGAAAAATATTAAATACGTGTTTTTTTGTTTCGGCTAAATACACTTTTTAGGGGTAGAAAGCACCCCTCAACCCCTGGAGGTGAAAACAGTTATGGCTAATTATTTCTATTATGAATATATTCTATTATGAAACGATACATTTTCTGAAAAAAGTGCTTAGGACCAAAGTTGTAGAGTTCAAAGTGATGCACTTGATGGCGACTTAGAAGTCGACCTTGAGGTCGATTTTCAAGGTCAATTAAATTTGGAAATAATTAGCCGTTGCCGGACTTTGACCACATCCTGTATCTATAATC